TCTCAGCTGATTGAAGCTCAGAATAATGCCATTGAAGAGATAAGGAAGATGAAGGCACTAGGGGTGTTCATGGTTCGGTTTGGGTCGGTTTTCCCGAAAAAGAAACCAAACCAAGTAAGTGATTTTTCAAATATTGGAACCAATCAAGACCAACTAAGTCTGCTTTTTATCAATGCGGTTTTTGTCGATGTTTTGGTTTTTTCGGTTATTTATCGGTTTTTTCTTAAATATGAGACATACACTATCAAACACAAATTCCGGCGACTACATTTTCAACTTAACACCATCAAATCAATTGCTCTTTGAGAAATTTATCATTTACCAAGATATATTGATGATAATTGAATCAAATAGTGGTGAATAATTTAAGTACTCAATTAAAAATCGATTATTTTTGGCATGAAATATTTTTTTTGTACTTAGCAAAAGAAAACTACCAATCAAACTAGAATGTAAAGGCAAAGAATTAGATTATTAAATAGCAAAGAACTAGACTAAAAATATAAATGACTAATATGTACCATAAAATTTTTAAAAACTTTATATGAGAAATATAAATATATATATAGGTGTAATAATAAATTTAAATTGCTAATTTTATAGTCGGTTTGGTTCCATTTTTTCAGCTATTTTCTGATTAAACCCAAAACCAAACCAAATTTGATCGGTTTTTAAAATTCAAAACTAAAACCAAACCAAAGCTAAAAAGTATCGATTTTTTGGTCGGTTTGGTTTGGTTTTCGGCTTGGTTCAGTTTTTCGGGTTTTTATGAACATCTCTAGAAGGCACAGAATGCCATACTCTAAGGTCAGCTCAGTCACGCCCAGGAAACACCTGATTCCAGCAGTTCACAAAGCACAGAGGTTGCCCATCTGACAAAGGAAAATGTTGATCTCAGGAAACAGGTCGAGGACCTGAAGGAGAGGTTGCTTAACGAGCAGGTGTCAGTAAATGCTCGAATGGACATCCTCCTTAGAACCCTTGCCTCCTCATTTGTGCCTCCCCCTTCTAGTGCTACTTAAAATCATTCCCTTCCCAGTGTCAAGTTTAAGTTGTCTGCCCTTTGTTTTGATCTTTTCTATTTAGATATGTTTAGTGACCAGTACTCTTTTTTTTGATGTTTTAATTTGTGGATGATTATGTAATAACTGGTACTGCTCCCTGTTTATTTCCAAAATTAATGAATATCTTGTCGTTTCACTATGCATACTTTGCTCTTATGCTCTATTTTTAGTCATGTTTGTGTGCACACATATGGCATGAGTTAGCTAGGCTAGACTTATTTCTGCTTATTGCTTGTGATTAATCTTTTTATGATGCCAAAAGGGGGAAAATGAATTGAGGGGGAACAAGAGAGGGAACAAGTTCAGGCAAGAGAGGGAACAAGTTTAGGGGGAATACAGGAAGTATGCATGTCACTCTGGTTTTCAGTGGGAACTTCAATTACGAGTTTGTCATCATCAAAAAAAGGGAAATTGATAGGTTATGTGACGTGTTATATTTTGATGATCTAACAAACTTGAAGAACCAGGTGGGGGAACCTGTTCCACATCCTCAAGTGCTCAAGAACAACAAGTCTCAAGTCGGGGACATGTTAGAGTCAAAGAAACGACATGCGAACAGATGGACATCAGTTCCCTTGCTTGTTGTACTAAGTTAATTCCCCACAGCTGTAAAGCTGCTGCAACTATTCCTCTACACGCACGCAACAAGGCCAACAGTGCAGCAGTCACTTTATGGGGAATGCCTTTGCACCAACTATGCTAACATCATCTAAGTGACATCACCTGGAAAATATTAACATGAAGCAAAGCAAAAACAAGTCACATGCACATTCTAGAATCGATTAAGCTTTCTCTCAAGTGTGTCAATCTTGCAAGTGCCTCTCAAGGCTTCAGGAATAAAGAACAACATAACACAGGACCAGTTTCCTGCATTGAGTTATTACATGTACTTAGTTGTATTGCACATTTATTAAAGTGATTTACTTGTAATTCCTACTTAGCTTAGATACGAAGCATTGTGTAGGAAACCGTTTGTAAAACCATAAACCTTGTGTTTGTGTCTTGGCTAGGGTTAGTCGAGTTGTAAGCTTTGTAATAGAGTTATTGCAAAGGGGCTTGTAATAGGGTTATTACAAGTTAGTGAGGGATTAAGAGTTTAATTCCTAGGTTACAATAGTTTGTAATCTGAAGTTTGCTCAATAATGAAGTTGAAATCCTGCGAGTGTAGGTTGTGGTTTTTAATCCCCTGAGCTGGGAATTGAATAAGGAATCAGTTATTTCCCATCCTTGTTCTCTCTCTCTCTCTCTCTCTCTCTCTCTCTCTCTTCTCTCTCGCTCTCTCTCTCACTCTCTCTCTTCTCTCTCTCTCTCTCTCTCTCTCTCTCTCTCTCTCTCTCTCTCTCTCTCTCTCTCTCTCTTTCTCTCGTTCTTTTCCCCAATTTTTCTTCCTCTGATGTTTCTTACTTTTTATCCTTTCATGTTGTAATATATTTTTTATGGAATTCATCAATGGATTTCAATCGTTTTACTATAGAGTTTTAACTTATCAATTTCCTTTCATGTGTGCACAATTGGTGTTCAATTTGAAATTGTCAACAATAAATTTTGAAGGTGTTTGACTCTCCACCATTGACAGCCATTAAAAAGATTTGAAGCTTTGAAATCGAATTTGGTTTTCAAAAATCATTATTTGTTTGGATTGGGTGTTATTGCAAACAATTGAGAATATTGTTTGGAGTTTATATCTCAATTTTGAGGTCATCAATGGATTTCAATCGTTTTACTATAGAGTTTTAACTTATTAATTTCCTTTCATGTGTGCACAATTGGTGTTCAAATTGAAACTATCAATCAATAAATTCTGAAGGTGTTTGACTCTCCACCATTGACAGCCATTAAAAAGATTTGAAGCTTTGAAATCGAATTTGAATTTTTAAAAATTATTATTTGTTTGGATTGGGTGTTATTGCAAACAATTGGGAATATTGTTTGGAGTTTATATCTCAATTTTGATGTTGTTTGGTGAGAAGAAGAAGAAGAAGAAGAAGAAGAAGAAGAAGATACTTACGAAATTGTAGTAAAATTGTATTATACTTGGACATACAATATACTTACGAAATTATAGTAAAGTTGTATTATAATTGTATGTAAATTGTATTTTATTGTAGTTATATATTTTTTTTATTTGAATGTCGTATGAAAGTTAAAAAATAGTTGTATAATATAAGAATCGTTGTATAAAATTTATATTTAAGTTATCAATACTATCTTTTTACATGAAGTTGTTGATATGTATCAAAATTGTATTAAGAGAATAAGTTTTGATTGAAATTTTAGTCAGGAAGAAGCACACACCATATACAAAATATATACAAATTGGATACAAAATATATAAAATATACAAGAGACATTGTATAAAATTTGTATTAAAATTGTATTTAAGTTGTATGATGTTGTAGTTGTATTTAACTGGGTAAGAAGGATGTATGAAAGTTGTAGATAAGTTGTATATTATATAATTAGTTGTATGAAATTTATTTTTATTATGTATGTTGTTGTGGATATATCAAATTTTGTATTAAATTTATATGAAATTTATTTTTAATTTGTATGATGTTGTACCATGCATTATTTTCTTTTCTTTTCTTATAATAGGTAATTATGACAAAGAGAGAGAACAGTATAATGTATTCAACAGCTTCTCAATTTGCAACTTTTTCTTGTCAAGGTTATTGATGTTAATACTACTTATCATTCTTTAGCACAGTTAAGATCTCATCAGTTGCTGCAGTCACAATGTATAGGGGTTTTCCTCCACATAAAATGTATTGAATTATAGAGAGCATGGCTTCATAAGCAGCCGTAGTTCCCTTTGTTTTTGGCTAGTAAACTCCTCCTCCTTCCTCTGTTTCCAAAGTAAGAACACTTTCTTCATGAATCCTCCGTCTCTTCTCAGTGGGCTTAGAGACAAGTGGATGTTTTCGCTCCTTCTTCTGAATTTTCTTGGGAGGCCTACTCCTGTAAATGCGATTCCCAAAAGTTTTGGAGTCAATTCTTCCATACAGCGACTTTGCTTCATTAGAGGTTGAATTGCCCAATATGTAATTGTAGGTTTTCATTGGCTTGGTGGTGAACACCAAGAATAAGGTTATCTATCATTTCCTCTTTATTTTGCAATTTTTCGACTTTTAGTAGCTTTGTAGAATATATTGTGCAAATATTATAGGGTTCAGAGGTTGTTTTGTGTATGTGTCATTTTATTTGGTAATTGGCTTTATTTGTGTAGTTTCTCTATATTAATTTCAATACTCTTGTGCTACATAATTATAGAGTTGAATTTGTTCTTATTGTTAATTATAATACTCTTGTGCTTCATTATCATGGAGTTGATTTACTCGTATAATTTTTTTAATTTCAATTACAGATTGGGCTAAATTTGCTGATTACTATTTGGGATGTCTGAATAAGGGCTTAGAAGTGAAAATTTCTTTGCGATGCCTGCTCCAACGGGTTCAGGAAACATAAAGCTTAGGAAGAAACGAAAATGGGAGCTGCTATTGCCACCATGAGATACTCAGACGTGGTTAACACCATTGTTCTCTTCGGTTATGCCTTTTTCCAAGCAAAGAATCCGCTAATTTAAGGCATTAATAATGGATTGTATATAATTTGTAAGTAATCTTTGTTTAGTGCGGGTAATATACAAAATTAGGATAATTTTGATAAATAAGTTTCAAATATTGTATAGGAAAGAAAAAATCCCGCTTGTTATTCAAGTGCGAAGCTAGTTGAAGCCAAAGCTCGTAAGGCTTTAGGCCCATAAATTTGGAGGATTGGTAATAGTTAATAGGTATAAACTTTAGTTAAAATTTCAAATGAAATATGATGCGGCCTATGTATTTAGCCGAAAAAATTAAGACTCAGGGAAATAAACATAAAATGAGTATACATTCTTCATTTGATCAAGATGTGAAGAAAAAGTCATATGCAAAGGATAATACGTTTGATTTACTTTTTTCATAATTTTTTTTCAAATGGATAATATTTTATTTTTAGTCTCTCCATTATCTCTTTTTTCTTTTTCTAGTTTTGTTTTCTTTTTTATTTTTCTACCTTTGTTTTGGCTAGGGATTTTTTTTTTTACCTTCATTTTCTACTATTCTTGGATAAACGTGCACTGCCGCATCTTGGCTAACGCAACCGCAACTTATTAGCGGCAAACATATGGTTTCAATATTCGAAATGCCCTTTCACTTGCTACCCATAATCAAACCAATTCTTCTCCCCCAAAACCCTATCAAAACCCTAGTTTACACCACAATCATGTCTTCTTGGTCATGTTCAAGATGCACATTCTTGAACCCTCCTATTTCATCCCAAAAATCATGCTGCCAAATCTGTTCTTCTGATCCACCACCCTCAATCTCACCAGACCCATCAATTTCAGTCATAAAACCCAAATGGGCATGTAAAGCTTGCACCTTTTTGAACCCTTATCACAGTATAAGCTGTGATGTATGTGGAACTAGGGCTTCAGCTTCTGGACTTGCTAATCTTGAAACTGATGATGATGATGAGTTAGATTCTTCTGTTGGCAGTGTTTTTATGCCTTTGTTGAGGCCTTGTAATAATAAGGGGAAGAATAGTAGTAGGGTTCCTATTAGGGTTGATGATGAGGTGAAGGAGTCTGTTAGGGCTAGATGTGTAAATGCTGCAACCAAGAGGAAAAATAGAGAGGACACTGATGGGGTTGAGGAGGATGAGATTGATTCTGTGGGATATAGGGGTGTCAGGACTGGAACTAAGGCGGTTGACATTTCGGGTATATTCAAGTTCTTTCTGTTTAATTCTGTTTTTTTGTCTATGGAATTTACATTCTTTATAAATATTTTAACATGAATTAGCTGATAAAAGAGACTCCTTTTTTATTGGTTTCTTGCATATAATGGTGTCTTGGAGTAGGTTTGCATTAGCACAAATGGATACGTTTTGGACTCCCACGTTGGAATGAAGTGGGA